CTCAAGGACGATCGCGACCGCGACGTCCTTCCCAGGCGTTCGCGCTCGCGTAGCCCGGCGCGTTCACTCGCGCGCAATCGGTCGCCTGTGCCTCCCAAGCGCCCGCCCCACGCGCCCGTTGTCCGTCTTCCCCATCTAGTTTGTCTTTGACGCGTACTGAAAGGCGCACAGGCTCCCAATCCTACTCAAGTGCTCGGTGTCTTTGGCCTGAGTATCCGCACGGAGGAGCGCGACTTGGACGACGAGTTTGGTCGCTTTGGTACCGTGGAGAAGGTCACCATCGTCTATGACCAGCGCGTACGTGGCCCGCCACTCCGCTTTTGCTTTGTTGACTAACGCATGACGTAGAGCGGACGTTCCCGGGGCTTCGGCTTTATCCGCATGTCGTCTGTTGAAGAGGCAACGCGCTGCGTCCAAGAACTCAACGGAATAGTACGCACACTCCCCTTCCAGTGACATTCTGCCAACTTACCAATGATCAGGACCTCAATGGGCGCAATATCCGCGTAGACTACTCTGTGACTAACAAGCCGCACGCGCCCACACCTGGCGAGTACATGGGTCACCGCCGCGCGCCCAGAGACTCGTACCGTGACTCTTACCGCGGCGGAGGCGGAGGTGGCGGCAGGGACTCGTTCAGAGACTCTTACCGCGACTCCTACCGCGACCGGGACTCCAACCGGGACTACGACCGCGACTACCGTCGGGACGACCGCGACCGCGACTACTACGGCGGCGGCCGCGACCGCGAATGGCGCGATCGCCGCAGCCCGCCGCCGCGCCGCTACTCACCGGACTACCGTCGCCGCCGCAGCTACTCGCGCAGCCCGCCCCGCGGCAGCAGCCCCCGCCGTGCCGCTGACTACGATGCGCCCCCCGCTCCGGCGCCCACCGACGCGCGTTGGTGAGCGATCTGACGCGCTCAGATATCCTTGTAGGTGCACGCGACCACCCATCGGAACCGGAACCGGGCGAGTCAAGCAGCAGCAGGCAGAAGGTGCAAAAAATGAAGCAGAGAAGAGCAAGGGTGTTTTCTTGGGTCCCGCCTCTTGTCCTCGGTGCCGCTGCAGCCTGGTTAGCGGTCCTCGGCGTCGTCTTCTTCAAGTTCTCCTCTTCGCAAACCGAACGTTGTTTTACTTTATGCAAGTCCCCGATATGCAAATCCTCTACGATACACTCAAAAAAAGAAAAGGACGGCTAGAAAGAAAGAAAGACGAAGTCCGCAATCCCTCTACTGCGTCCAAGTCTGCCAATACCTGTCAAGTTGTCAATACCTTCCCAAGTTCAACGTCGTTATCACCTCTTGTTATGTACGCAAGTCGCGCAAGTTGATGCAATGTATCCGGCTGTACGGTGTTTGACGGTCAAGGATGAAGACGACGAGGGGTGGTGACCGGTGAAGACGCCAGACGACGAGAGTCAATGAAGACACTAGGCGACGTCGACTTTGAGCCGAGTACGTGCAAGCATCGCCATGGTCACGGACGCCTCTTAGCAGATGGTAAGTATCTCAGGATGTGCGTCCTTCCGTCGGGTACTACTGATGGCGTCTCTCCAGTTCTGGGATATGCGTGTCAGGTTCCGTGCTGATATGCGCTCCTGGGGCGCCTACGCGCTCTGTCCTTTCACCATCTACTTTGGCTGTACACATGTAAGTAACCTTTGACTGTCAATTTATCTTGTTGTCGAACATGCGCTGGCGCAGACGTCAGAGATGAGAGGACCCAGTTTCTGGCATAGAGAAATCATTGGCGTTCAGTGAGTGCCTGTTGAAAGCGAACAACATAGTCAATTCACCGAATGGGACGGGCACATGCGTCAAGAGACGTATTGAGGCCGTGTTGATTCTCTTGCCTCGTTCCGAGAAATAATCGCCTGAAAGTGCACACCGCGGCTGGAAGTGATGCGCGTGGGGTCAAAGCGCGTTATATCGACCTGATTGGGGAAATATCTCCGGCAGTCAGCCGATCGATCGAGACCGTATTTTGTCTTGAACAATCGCAATGGTGCGCATCAGGAAGAGTGAGCGCCCCCTCCTTCAAAGGTATACCAGGTCACTGATGTGATGCGCAGGGACGAGCAAGCGGGGGACAACACATGACCGGAGGAAAGTCCACAACAAAATCAAGGAGGGGAAGAAGAAGAAGGCCAAGGCCGCGAAGAAGGATACCCAGTGGAAGTCAAGTGCGTGGTCCCGCAAGTCTTACTTGGGCCTATGCTTATACGCGTTGCAGAGCAAAAGAAGGATCCTGGTATCCCCAACAACTTCCCCTTCAAGGATCAGCTGCTCGCCGAAGTCGCGGAGCAGCGCCGCATCGTGCGTCCCTCTCTCTCTCAATCGCGACACCGTCACTGACAATGTCATAGGCTGCTGAAGAGAAGCAGCAGCGCAAGACTGGTAAGAAGGCCGAGCGCAAGGCAGCGGACCTGCTCGCGGCAGGACAGGACGCCGCCGCCGAGCTTTCGGACGATGGCGACTTCGACGGCGTGGGCAGCATAAGCGCCAAGAAGCTCAACGTAGCCGCATTCACTATGCGCGACGCCAAGCGTGCTGCGCCAGTCGTGGAAGAGGAGGAGGAAGAGGATGCGCCGATGCTCATGGACCCCGAGTTGGCGACCCTGCGCGCGGTGTTGGACAAGGCGGACGCGGTCATCGAGGTTCTGGACGCACGCGACCCGCAGACCTTCCGGAGCGCCGCTCTTGAAAAACATATCATGGAGGGGAACAAGAAACTCATGCTGGTGCTCAACAAGATCGGTGAGCATACCCAACGTTGCGACTCATACCGGTGTAGCTAAACTTTGGTCAGACTTGTGCCCTCGCGAGGCCGTCGCAGCGTGGTACTCCCATCTGAGGGGCGAGCAGCCGACATTCCTGTTCCGCTCAGCGTCGTCGTGCTTGCCGGTAGCTCCGATAGCTCCAGACGTGAAGGGCAAGGCCAAGGCGTCCACAAACGACGCTATCGGCGCCGGTGCCATCCTGGATCAGCTACGGAGTTGGGCTGCCGAGAAGAAGGGCGATACGCCTTTCACAGTCGCCGTGGTGGGCGTGACGAACGTGCGTTCAAACTGGACTGCATGTTTCGGCTTCCGCTGACCACCATCCAGTCTGGTAAGAGCTCGCTCGTCAACTCGTTGCTGAAGAAGTCTGCATTGCCTGTGTACACCCTTGCCACATCGTCGAGAGGACCGACCACCACGGAGGTGCCGCAGGAGGTGTCACTCGATGCTACCCTTTCTGTCCTCGATACACCCGGTCTCGCATGGACACCCCTCTCGTCCGACGATGATAGCGCGAATGCGGTACGCGCCCGCGATATCCTGATGCGCAACAAGGGCCGTATCGACCGCCTTAAGGACCCGGAGCCAGCCGGTGGGTCAGGCGTGCCTCATAACATGAACCATGCCTCATTCTCTACCTACAGTGGAGAACTTCGTGTCCCGCGCCACGACCGAGGACCTTATGCTTCTCTACAGCCTCCCCGCCTTCATCAAGGACGACAGCGAAGCCTTCCTCAAAGGCGTCGCGCGCGCGAAGCAACTCATCAAGAAGGTGCGCTCAATTATTATATCTCCTTGTCAATCCTACTGACATGCCTTCTCTCTCCAGCACGGTGCAATTGACCTCACCACGGCCGCCCGCGTTGTGCTTCGCGACTGGAGCACGGGCAGGATAAAATGGTACACTCCGGGCCCGGCGGCCGCGGACGCAGCGCAGGCGGACGAGGCTATCTTGTCCCGCCTGTCCACGCGCAAGGAGCTCCGCCGTGCAGGCGGGCTCGTCAAGCTAACGCCGGGCACTGTCGAGACGCGCACGGTGGACTTGGAAGCGCCCTGGGTGCATGTCACCGGTGCCCCGGTACGTACCGGCGAGGATGACGATGACGATGATTGGGAGGACGTGGACGAGGACGAAGATATGGATGATGGCGAGAGCGAGGATGGTGAGATGGACGAAGATGAAGAGGATGACGAGGATGAGGAAGAGGAGCTGCCCGCACCCCCGCCGAAGCGTAAGCGTCAAGCCGGCGACCAGTCCCTGCCTCCTCCGCCCGCCAAGAAAGTCGCGTTCGCCGCGAAGACGAAGGTGACCGCCCGCTCCGCGCCCGCCGCGTCGCAGCCAACGAAGTCGGTGCTGAAGGCGACCACCACGACGTCTTCGTCGGTGAAGACCGTGACATCTTCGTCAGTGAAGACCGCCTCGACCTCGGCAAAGACGGCGAAGACCGTCACAAAAGCCGCGAAAACAGTACCCAAGGTCGCCCCACCCACCAAAGCACCCAGGGTTGCGAATGTCGGGAAGAAGACGTCGGGCAAGCCGACTGGCGAGAACGAGTACGACTTTGGGAGCTTCTTCTGATTTGCTGTATGTATATACGCACAATGTTGTATGTACGCTCTCATAGTTCCAGGCCATGCATATTATATGATGCATATGCATGAGGATTGTTCTAGGAATTCCATCCCGTCTACGTGTCGATGGGCGGCCCAAGCATTCGGTCAAACGATTGCAAGCTCCCTCTTTCTCGTGACTTCTGCTGGAAAATGTGATGCTTCATGCTTTTAACTACGCTGAGGCAGAACGACAGCCTGTGGAGACTAGCTAAGGCAGAAGTCGTTCGTGATACACGAGGTTATAGAACCTGTTTGTAGTACCGTTTACTGACGAGTGCAACACGCGTCCAGCGTGCACATCAAACGGTGACGGACATGAAGGATGAGATATTGCAGCATTTCACACACCAAAAGAGCGAAACAAAGAGCAGATGAGTCTGTGGCCGCAAGCTGGGAGCAGCGTCGGAACTTATCGAAAGAGTCAGCATTCGCTGTTCGCGGTCCCGGTCAGCATCGATCTTTCATTGAGCCTAGGTTCGTTGTGAGTGTCAACGTCAGGGATTGAGATGTAGGGATATGCATTCTAGGCTTTCTCGCCTCTCTCTTCCTCAATTGACCAACAAGCATACGGCAGCGGTCATACAAAAGCTCAGCCGCCTTTCACAGGCACCATGGCGGAGTGGTTAACGCGAGAGATTAGAATGGATAGCGGTGTGATATCTTGTTTATCTCTTCCTCTTTGAGGGCGCAGGTTCGAATCCTGCTGGTGTCGTACGGCTCTCTAGAATATCCATTACTTTTTTTTTCTCTTCAGCGACGACTAAAGACAACGTGCCCGCAGAGGTATATCGGTGAGGTGATGCCCTTGCTTGTTCCGCGTCGATGCTAAATTCCCAACATCTACCTTCTACATACACGACGCCGGACCTTGCTCGTATACCGCCTGATCATCACTATCGCTCATCGTCATATCTATCATCGACCTTACTCTTCTCCTTCAAGACGCGCGCATGCAGAGCCCACTCAGTGCTATCTGAGTCCGGCTCCTCGTCCGCCCAGTGCAGATCTTCGTCGTTTGGAGGCGCTCGTGGAAGTGGCTGGACCTGGGAACAAGTGAGCGCTTGTCGAGATCGAGATTCATTGCACGGATGGCAGCAGAAGACATTTCAGAGGCACTGGATGAGCGAAGGATACATCGCAGCGTGGGCGGGCGAAGAAAACAAGACGGGCTGAAAGCATAGCACACTCACCTCCCATTTCGGCGCTACGTCGATGGTGTCGATATCGACCTCTTCTTCCTCCTGCAACATCTTGCGCTTCACGATCTCCGACTCGTCCTCCTGCGAGTAAGGTCAGCAAGCGTATCATAACTTACCAGGACGCCCTGCTCGCAAACGAAAGTCTCGCAAGAGAGTCCTCCCCCATAAAGTCGTCACGCATCAAGACTGATCTCCACATCGTACTCTTTCCTTGCCCCAGGAATCGTGCACTCACAATATCGAACTCATCCTCCCGCTCCTCGTACATGATATTCTCGTCAAGCTCCTCGAAATCGCCCGCGAACGCGCCCCATCGCTCCTGAGTCGGGGCGTGCCAGATGAGAATGTTGCCTTGGGACGTGTTCGATAGCAGCATCGAGCGGGCGGGGTTCCACTGGATGGGGGTAGGAGATCAGCGATTTGACAAACGCATTACCATGCCCACAGCAGCACCGCGCGCAACGCAGCACAACGCTCAACGCATCACCACGCCCAAGGCAGCACCTCAGCCAGCGCAGCCCACGTCCAACGCATCACTGCACCCAGCACAGCACCATCACTCCCAAAACACTCACATGACACCACAACAAAGTCTCCGTCCCCCCATCCAGCGCCGTCGCCAGCTGCCCGTCGCTCGACAGGTCCCACACATATATCTTGTGCGCCGCGGGGTCGGCCGCGCCCCCCGCGAGCCACTCGCCGTCAGGGCTGTAGCTGACCGCGTACCATTGCGTCTTGTTGATCGGGTCTGAGAAGCGGTGTGTGGGGTCGAGGTCGTGTTCGAGGATCTGGGAGGAGGGGCGGGTGGGTTAGTTTGTTGGGGCAAGCTGGGCGTGAAAGGAGATTATGAAGGAAGAGACTGGGTGAGGGAGTGGAGGGTAGTGGGGGAAGGGCAAAAGAAAGGAGGATAGGATAGATGCGAGAGGACAATAGCAAGAGAAGACAGAAACAACCACCCACCTCGCCATCCGGGTCCGGGCGCGGATACGACGGCGTGACAAATTGTCTGAGTGTGCGATCCGTTGTGTTCGTGACGAAGCGGCTGCAAAGGGGTCAACATGAGTTACAGAGAAGGAAATGGCAGGGAGCAGGGGGAGACAACAGTGTGGAGGAAGGGACACAAGACGTACCGGCCTGACTTGGTGAACTCGATATCCGTGACTGGATTTGTTCAGCAAAATACTGGCAAGAGATGCAAGGAGCACATAATGGGAGTGAACATACCTTTGATCTGCCCTGTAATGCCGGCTATTCGGTGGCGGGCAACGAGCTGAGTGCGGTGTTAGTATATTCTTGAATGAATAAAACATGCGCCAGGTGAAAGGGGACGCAACGGAGCGCACCATCTTTGTCCGCGTATTATAGACGTGGACCTGCCCATTGCTGGTCCCGACGAAGATGTGGCGCCCAGAGGGGTCGAAGCGAGCGCAGGTTCTGCGTGGGGTGTCGGTGCGTCAGTGACGATGTAGGTCAGGTCGCACAAGCGGAGCGGCAGGCCACTTACGCCCGGCAATTCACATCCTCCTCGCTGATGTAGGCCACGAAGCTGCAGTACTCGTGATCCCGGCGGAGGTCGTAGATGTACACGTCGCCAGGGATAGCTACAAGGATTATCTTGCTGTGATTTGGTTTAGTACAGATATAGAGAGAATCGAGGCGAATGCATGCACCTATTCCTTGGATGGAACTGCGCGGACAGCACCGGTGCGTCGTGGCGGAAAGTCATGACACGTTGCATGGGTTCCTGCACATTCTCCAGATCCCATAATGCGACGTTCCAGTCTTGCGAGGCGGTGAGGAGGTACCGTGAGCGGCGGGACCAGCTGCGAAGCGTGTGTAAGGGGAGCGCGCGCTTGGGCGCCTAAATGTGATCGACGCACTCCAGGGCAGTTATGGTGCGGACATGCGCGTCTAGATCGCGTACAACTTCTCGCGTCTCGAGGTCCCAGACGCGAACGAGACCGTCGAGGGAGCCTGCGGCGACGTAGCGGCCGGTGGGGTCAAAGCAGGCCATGTTGCTGGTGGCGTTCAGTGATGTCTGTACCGCTGTAGGGTACGAGGGGCGGTTGTAGTTGTCTATAAAGGAGTATTCAGGACGTTTCATGGGTATGTGGATGACTGGAGCGCACTGATAAGCTGTTCGTTCATCTTGAACTCCGGGGGAGGGAAGTCCAGGGGAAGTCGTAAGTTGTGCTGTTCGTGGGTGCTATTGCATGAAGCAAGCTCTCGAGTATATGTAAATTGTTTTGTTCGTGATAATTCTCTGGTGTCTAGGACGACCGAAGGTTGATGCGTAGTACTACTTTAGAGGGATGGTGGAAGGAACAAAGAACAATGGCAAGAAGCACGAGCCAGCGAGGTACGGAACATCGGCCCTAAGTGCCGTAAGGGGTGCACCCCGACCGAGCAATGATCAGATTCTTCACCGATCTCCTGGTCAACCTTCGCCTTCACCTACTAATACCATTACTCCGCGATGCCCTCTCTCACAGAGTCCCCCACTCTGCAACACATCACCCGCCCGGAATGCTCTACATGGATTGCTTCGGAAGCGTACATCATGTCCATTGCCGCGCTCCCCTCGCGCTACGCGATCGCCCCCTCCGCACCGAGCACCTCCATAGACATCCTCGACCAGACCAACCTGCGCATTGTGCAAAGCCTCCCCGGGCACACGGGCGGCGTCACCACTCTACGTACCGTCAGCGCCATTGGGGGATCGAATGCTCCAGCACTCGTGTCGAGTGGGCGCGACGGAAGCGTCAAGATGTGGGACGAGCGCAGTAACGCGCATAGCATCAAGAGTGAGCGGGACTGAGAGGTCGTGTGTCTGCGGGCGCTGAATGACCAAGGCTGCAGTGACGGACCTCGGAAAAGCGCGCGCGATTCTTTGCGTGGATGTCTCCCCCGACGGGTTAACGGTTGCTGGCGGCACGGACCTGCAGGGCGATGATGCCACGATCTTGTACTGGTGTGTCCCCTTCTGTCCTCCATCTTCTCCGCAAGAAAGTGAACACTCTACCCAGGGATCCCCGCCAGCCGGCAGCGCCCCTCCGCGCCCACTCCTCCACACACTCGGACGACATCACCACCCTCCACTTCTCCCCTTTTGATCCCTCCGGCAAAACGCTCCTCTCCGCCTCCTCCGACGGGCTGTTGAGTGTATCTAACGCAGCGGAGGACGACGAAGATGAGGCCGTGCTCCACGTCGCCAACTGGGGGTGCAGCGTCAGCCAGGCGGACTGGGTTGGCGCGAGGGGAACAAGTCCTACGATTACGACGAATGCCAGCGGCACGGACACCCCACACGCCATTTGGGCCGCCAGCGACATGGAGACCTTCAGCACCTGGTCCCCAGAGCTCGACCCATACACCAGCTTCGACATCAAGGCGCCCGCCGTGCAGCGCATCGACCGGCCCTGGGTCACCGACTACCTGATCGCGGGTCACAGTACGGGGGATGCGTCCCATCCCCTGGCGTTGTTTGTGGGGAGTAATGAGTGAGTGGGCGGGGGCATGGGCTTTTGACGGAAGACGCAGGAGCGTTCTGCGAAAGCCCATGGTCTTTTCATCTTCGTGTCCCATGCTCATGCATTACACTCCCACAGAGGCGACATCGCTCTCATATCGCCATCCTCGAGCGCGTCCGAACCGACCACCTCATGGACCCTACACAAAAAGTGGCTTCACGGGCACGCAGGCGTTGTGCGCTCGTTGCTTTGGGATGAGAGTGTGAGTTTCGATTTTTCTGTCGAGACTGATTGTATCTTTTGGTCGAGATGTCTTTGAAGATTGGCGGCACCATCGCGTTGTTTAAAACATGCGTCTGCGTATCTGACATGTGTCTATATCTCTAACATACGCTCACCAGAACGGCGTCCTCGTCACCGGCGGTGAAGACTCAAAGCTGAACGTCTGGTCGCTCAATGGGACGACCATGGATGACGAGGGGAACGGCATGAACAACGGCGGGAACGACATGGACGACGACGGGAATGAAATGGATATGGACGCACCACAGATGCCATACCAATCACCGGGCTCCTCGCAAGGGAGGAAACGCAGCATGAGTTGGGATGGCGAGGACGAGTTGGTGCGTTCGTATTCCTTGCCGATACCGGAGTGCGGGCTAATCCGTATCTTTAACAGGAGGGGAAGCGGGTGAGGAGGTGACACGCTGTACCGCGTGATTCGCCACGCTACATGCTTTCCACTGCAGTTCCTACTTGTCAAGTGGCACCTAAGGGGCGTGATCTGTGACTTCATTTTGGAAACGCAGCCTATCGCGTGAATGATGACCAAAGGGCGTCCAGACAGGGAACAATGGTCGCGTATCACTTGCTGACAGCGGGTGCATAGACTTGGTCACCGTCATGGAACCATCGTAAGCCGGTTGAATTCGCCCCTCTTCGTTTCCCGTTTCCCTTGGATCCTTCACAACTCTCTCGTCACTTCCTTGCGCCGAACTAGCATTATGCCACGCCCCTCTCACTATACGACATTACGCTCCGAG